TATATATATATATATATATATATATATATATATATATATATATATATATATATATATATATATATATATATATATATATATATATATTGAGATTCAATTTTTGCTCACAGTCACAAGGGCTGTACTTTAACTGCATTAATCTCACATGACCTGCAGAGGGCGACACTTCTCTGGTGGGGGGGTCTGGGTAAATAATTGTGCATAATATTCCCAGGGGTGTCATTTGAAGGAGCACTAGTGATAATGGCTCATATGTTCTCCTTTTTATGAGGGAACAAAATGAATGAACAAATATGGAAAATTCCATTATTATAAAATATTGTTGTAGAATTTTTTTATTTTATCTTCAGTAATGAAATTAAATTCAAATGTTATTAAATATTTTACTTGTGATGCCTCGTTTTACTTCAATATTTGGGACTGTTTACACAGTATTATTCTAACCGTATTATTATTATCATCAATATTTTGATGATAAAACATATTTTAATAGAGTGTGTATTTTTAAATGATGTTAGAGAATGTTTTTATTCTGGAGATATTTTAAGTGAAATGTTTGAAAAGGTGCCTTCTTGTAGCACTTTTAGAATATTTCTCTTTAATCAAACTAAAAGATTGTACATGACTCTCTCAGTGTTGTTGCTACTTGTATACTGTTGTGTTTGTGTTTGTTTACAATGCATGTTTGTTAGGAAACTAATCTGATTGTATGATTATATATTGTATATTTATTAGTTTATGTTTTTTGCCATGAATATAGCCAATGCTGCTGATATGGCATTAAAACCTAAGCTTAATAAACCATTATTGTTTCCATGTAAATTATAAATAAAGGTGAAATGTGAGGTCATGTGCATGCTTATTATGTGCTAACTCTATTGGCATTTTCCTTTTCTTCATGAAGGGGTATTAAAAAGAAATATTCTGCAGGCCTGTGTGAACGATGATCGTTTTAAAAATGTTCTCTGAATGAGGAACGTGTCAAAAACACAAAGTAAAACATGTCGATTTTAGGACGACATTGTAATGTAAACGCTCTCCATTTCCAAGTCAATAAAGAAGCAACGAGCTGCAATTCAGTCACATGTTGTGCCATTTGAGAATGTGCAGTAGTGAAGAGACAAACCGTGGGTAGTCTGTTTAGTCTTATTCAGACTGAAAACAATGAAATGACCCCTGCTGTTTTTATGATGAGAACCTAACGATGGACGACTTGTTTCACAGCATGATGCTGTCAGAACGCCCAGACAGGGAATGTTATACCACAAGACCATTCGAAGACGTCAGGAATATTAGGATGGTGTTTCTAACTGTAAACCTACTACATTTTAGGTTACACCAGTTGGTGTAAAGCCAAGCATTGTAGAGGTAAAAAGATCTGGGCTCATATTCACAAAATATTTAGTCTTACCAACAAATAACAGCAAGTTTTTAGCTGAGAGTTGTCTTTTAGTGTTTTCTCACTTTTAGCTTAGCTTAGCATACATCATTGAATCAGATTAGACCATTAGCATCTTAAAAAATGCATGATAATTTTCCTTTTGCTATTTCTGAGGTCTATATGGCTAGGAACTACTCTCCCATTCTGGTGTAATAATCAAAGACTTCTGCTGCCATACCTTGCATAATATTAGTATAAAAAGTATAAACAACAAACGGCTAAATGGATTTTAAAATGGCAAAACTCCACTATTTATCTAGGGCTGTTATAAAAAAAAGCCTATTATTATTTTTTTTAGTGTAATGTTCCTTTAAATTGGCGTGTAGCCTCGATGTTTTGTGAATTCAGACCCAGATCAATAGTGGTTAATAAAGGTCAATGCTCAGAGTCGATGCGTGTGTTTATTCCACTGCATGTCTTACTTTAGTTAATAGTCCACCTTTCAACATCTTCTCTCTCTCAGATCAGTGTCAGGAGCAGGAATTTGGCGAGGGCTCAGGAGTGTCTGCTCTGGAGGAAGCTGAGCGGGACAGAAAGGTAAGAGGACAAAAATTTAGGAGGTGTGAGCTGCATGTGTTGAAAACAGGCTGTGATCAAGATGTGTTTAATGAATTTTACAGCTCTCACTGCACAATTGGTGTCGCAAACAATAATATTTAACTTTGTGTTGTCAGGTTTAAAATGTCAATCGTAGTATTGTTTGCCAATATTTATTTGTCTCGTATCTAAAGATTAGCATATTTTAAATATTCATTGAAATCTTACTTGCTTCAAGTATTCAGTTTCTGCATAAATCCTTTAGATTTGGTTCGTTTTGTTTAAGATTTGATGAGATTTTTAAAATTTAAGAATTTTTAATGAATGTTTTTATACAGCAAACATTAAATTGATCTAAAGTGACTGTAAAAAAAGGTTTAATATGTTAGTAAAGACTTCTGTTTCAAAATAAGTGCTGATTTCTGTCCACTGGAGAATCCTGAAACGAAAAAGATGTTCCAATAAAATGAAGCAGCACAGCATTTTTCAATACTGATATTAATATGTATATTAGAATTATTTCTGACAGATCATGTGTCACGAAAGACACGATAATTCATTAATTGTCCTTTCTTAAAGAACGATTTTTAATGTTTTTATTTTATTTTTTTTATTTTTCCAAATCTTTCAAAAAGCAAATTAAAAACTAAATAATAATAAAAAATATATATATAAATATCTTACTGACCCCAAACTTTTAAACAGTAGTTGTGTTGCCACAGAAGTGAAATATGATTAAACATATATACAAATATATGTGGTTATATGTCGATGGCTGTGAACATTTGCTGCTTATCCTAAAACCGTTTCATAACTGTAGCAAGAGGTGATTCAGTCATAAGGTAAAACAGCTGTCATAACATTATTTATCAATATGTGGACCTTTCAGGACTCTCAAAAGCTATAGAAATTAAAAATGTAAAACAGAAAATATGTTAGGGCCATTGTTATCCCTCAAAATGGTCTATAATAAGATTTGTAAATATTATTACAGTGTACTTATTCATACTTGCATGTATTTTTTACAATTTATAAATCTAATTCATACATTAGATTTTATCATGTTTTCTACGTTATTCCTAAAAATACAAAATTGTGGCTCCTAAATTGTTGAACTCTTTACCGTCTGATCAGGGGCGTAGCACCAAATTCTGGGCCCTGTACCCTCTCAATGTCAGTGGGCCCCCTACACATTTTTTTTTAATTATTTGAATATAAAAATGCACAAATAGTGTTTTAATCTATAATCAAATCAGATTATAATAATGACTGGTTCTTTCATTCACCACCAAATTGATGCATTTGGCCTACTTGTGCTCAAATACCTTTAAACAGTAGGCTACATCGCGTTTGTGTACTGACATTTTGATCCATGATACTGATGCAAGTTTTGATTTAAAAACATTTATTTTTGAACAGGAGAACACGAGACAACTGTATCAATATATTTTGAAATAAATAATGACATTGACATCAATTGGAGGGGCCAATTAATTTGAAGTAGGCTACAAAAAAAAATAATAATAAAAAATTGGTGGGATTTCAAAGGGCCCTCTCCCTAGACGGGGCCCTGGGTAGTCAGGTCCACTTTTCCCCCCACTACCACGCCCATGCGTCTGATATTCGAAATGCAGAATCCCAGAGTATTTTTAAATCATCTTATAAAAGGTATTATTTTAGGGTCACTTTTATTTGATTTTTAGATCTTTTATTTTATGTTTTTACCTATTTTTATTGTTACTTTTTTTTTGCATTATTCATTGTATGTATCTTTTACTGCTGCAAAATTTATATGTCTGTGAAGTGCCTTGAAATGCTACTTTTAAAGGCGTTGTTATCAATATTGTATGATATGAAACATGATATGTACATTATCAGCAAGCCCTATTTAGAAATATTATTTTCAACAGGAAAGATTGCTACCATTTTAATACTTGCTCAGAAATTACTCTGTCATTCAAACGCCCCCAGAATAGAGAATGATGTGTTATTACACTGTTATCTTGGTGGTTAAATGGTTCTGTTCTGCTTGTTGGATGCACAGGGCCAGTTCACCTTGTGTGATTGTGTTCTAGTGGTCTATAATTCCCGTGGGCCTCCAAATGATCTTACTTGATTGGGCATTGTGTGTCAAAACAGAGCATACATTCACAAACACACTCATCTATGGCCTTAAAACACTCTCAGCCACACTTCATTATGATTGAGTTTTGAAAACAGTGAACATTTCATGCGTTTTTATCATGTTTTTATCCTTTCTATGATGAGAGCAGCTCTGCAGAGCAGCCCAGAGGGATTTATCAGTTTGTCAGCACTTTATTACCCTCTGACAGCACAGATTACGATGACAAATGGCCTGAATTTCCAGCGCTGATGCTGGTTTTTATGTACCGTGGTGAAGGTGCACCACATGTGCTCTAGAGATAAAGCCTTCAGGACGGCTTTTGCATTTCTGAGAGAACATTTCTCAGCTTCGGGCACTGCTGGAGCCGGTTTCTAATGCTTTTGCTTGTTTTATCCAGCAGTGCAGGGCTGTGTTGATGAAGAAGCAGGTCATTGATAGAGAATTGAACAAATACATGTAGGTGAGGGGATCGTTCATGAAGGATTTCAGTAATGCAGGCAGTGTTTTAAGGAAGAGTTCAACCTAAGATTGCTTCAGCTCCAAAACAAATACATGCATTTCTTTCTTAGTAGAGGTTTGCCTTGTTTCTAGCCCAGATATCTAAAGATTTTTTGAGACAAGCAAACCTTATTGTCTCGTTTTCAGGAATAATATGTTGGGGTAAGCAAAATAATCTAGTTTTGCATTGAAATAAGATTATTTTGTCCATTTTAAGAAAAAATCTACTTATTTCTGACATTATTTCTGAAAACAAGACAATATTTTTTGCTCATCTAGAAAATACTTTTAAGATTTTATTTTATTTTTTAATATTTGGACAAGAAACTAGTCAAAAACCTTTGCATGCAGTGTAATACTTTAATGTGAGGTTGTTACATACATCCCGTGCATTTATTATAAACATTACAATACATTATGCATAATTAATAACAACCCTAATAATAAATAAAATAACAACCCTAAATCTAACCCACATTTTAACCCCAACCATATAGTAAGTACTTGTAATTCATTAACATAACTCAGTAGTTAAATGAATAGTGACACTGTAACATTAAAATAAAGTGTAAATGGATATATTAAAGGATTGTTTACTTGGATATGAACACATGCTGTTAATTGACCCATACTCAGAAAATAATGTATTTTTAGTTGCTGAAATTGATCAATTCAAGATCTTTCTGCATTTTGAGTTAAATAACATCACAGGCCAAACAAATTCCTACCTGTGACTCCAAAGTGCACGCTCAGTCTGGAATCTGCAGCCTGTATGAACTAATTGAGGTCTATTTTATTTTACAGTCTTTTATGGTTTCAATATTAGTTTAACTACTTAGCATTATGAACGTATTACTTTCTGTATAAACAGAATATGAGGTTAGTTGCATGTAATTATGCAAATTTAATAGTAATTTCCTAGTAGTAAGTACATGGAACATGTGTAACGACACCTTAAAATGAAATGTTAGCAAAAATTGTAGAACAGCATCAGGGGTTTGTCTATGACAGGTAATCAGAGACAAATACGATCAATGATAATAAATAGGCAGCATTAATGTATTTTAAAATTATTATTATTTTTTATTATTATTATTTTTTTTAAAGCTATAGCCATTGACATCCATAGTAGAAACAAACATAAAATACTTTGGAATTAAATGGCTGTTGCTAAAAAAAAAAAAAAAAAGTAGTTATCCTAGTTGGATAAACGATCCCTTTAAAAAGTTGGATGTTGAACATTTAATATGTTCAAAGATAGTCAAAAAATACTATGGAAATTATTGGCAGATTTTTCCAACATGCTTAACAGAAGAAAGACATTAAAAAAAGGATTCCAACCATTTAAGTTTGAGTAAATTGTGAGGGATTTTTCATTTGGGGTGATCTCTTTAATACATCATGTTTGGTGATAAAATATACTGTAGTCAGGGTGGGGCACATAATGTAAATAATAATAAAATAAAAGATTAATGTGATGAGTGACTGAGCTGGATTGTTATTTAGTGCTTAAATGATGTTTTAGTTGGAGCAAACCTGCTCTTGCCACTCTGCTTTTATCGACACCAGAGTGCTGCAGGAATGAGTCCTGTAAAATCTGGAAATGAGTAAGCATTATCACACGTCTGCTTTCATAGTCTTGAGGGTTTTCAGTTAAATAGGATATCTAATAGGCTTATATAAGGTCTGTGGTTAACACAAGCTCAATATATATTGCATTTATTTCATAGTACTCCATGACAAAAATGCCTTTAATGGCCACTTTATTAGGTACACCCTACAAGAATTGCATTGAACTCGCTTTTGCCTTCGGAAATGCCTTAATTTCTTGTATTTTATCCATGTTTTATTCTTATTTTTATAATTTTTATTATTTGTTTTCATTTTCTTACACTTGTCTCTTTTATTCTTGTTTATGTAAAACACTTTGAATGGCCACTGTGTATGAAATGTGCTATATAAATAAACTTGCCTTGCCTAAAACAGAAGAAGGTTCAACACACAAGATCCAAATTTCCTATATCAGCACATCCCAATTGGAGACAATGAGCAGGCCTCTTGAGTATAATAAACTCATCATAATGTTCAAGAAACCAGTGAGAGATTATTTGAGCTGTTTGACTACATAAAGCATGTTTTTTTTTTTACTCCATAATTTAAACTGTCTTCATTTACTCACTCACCCTCCACGTATTCCATGCTAGTTTGAGTTTCTTTCCAATGTTGAACACAAAAGAAGATGTTTTGAAGACTGTTGGAAACTATTGACCTCTATAGTGGTCAATGCTGGTGTTCAACATGGTTCAAAATATATTTGTGCTCAGCAGAAGAAACAAACACACCAATTTAGGAGTCACTGGTGAAGTGTGTGAGTGAATATTCATTTTTGCGTGAACTATCCTTTCAAGTTAGCCTTTCTAACAGCTTAAACCATTCTAACATCCAATAAACATTAACACAGTGCTTTTCCAACGCATTCAGTATCATAATGCCAAACAGTAAAAATAATCCTCTCAATATTTACATAAAGTTTTGTTATTCACAGAGCTTATTTTATACAATAATCTAGATTCTGGCAACAAATTGGTCCTGGGCTACAAATATGCCATCAGGGAGGCACTAGTAGAAAAACAGAGAATCAAAGGAATGTTCTTCTGCTGTCCTTTACCTTGTAGAACCCAGAGACGGTGTGTAAGCTCTACCAGACGTTGCCTGAAGGACCTGTTCTCATGGTAGAGGGCCACAAGAACCCTTACTCTGCTGAAAATACTCGTGCCAGGTCCTCTCCGCGTCACATGTCTGTCACAGAGCGCCTGCGCATGGTCATTCAAGAGCTGGTGGACACAGAGAAATCTTACGTCAAGGTATATGGCGGTGGCATTTTAAATATTACTGATATTATTTGACATGTAAGACATCAATCAATGCATAGTGTTTCTGATATTAAATGAACACTCCAATTTGTTTAGAGGTTGAGTTTCATCATTTTTTAATTAATTTAGCCGATCTTTAAATCTGGCTGGAACAATTTTAGCTTAGCTTAGCATAGATTATTGAATGGGATTAGACCGTTAGCATCTCGGTCAAAAATAATAAGAGTTTCAATAATTTTCTTATTTAAAGCTTGACTCTTGTGTTGTTGCATCGCGTATTTATACTGGTGAAAAAATTAAAAGAGGCTCAAAGGTAGATCATCGCAACCCTTTGGTCATTTTTGAGCGAGATGCTAATGTTCTAACCCGATTCAATGATCTAATGTGAAATGAGGCTATTTTACAAAACAGTGATGTATTCCTTTTACACAAATTATACCATTCTTGTTTTGTTTAGGACCTCGGATCTCTGTTTGAGATCTATCTGAAGCCTTTACAAAGAGAAACATTCCTTAGTCATGATGAGGTATGTTTTGGTGTGTAAACTGATGAGGTCACGTTCATTTTTTTGGCACACCATGTTGGTAATTGCAGTTTTCCCCTTGTCCTGTAGATGGAGTCACTGTTCGGCAGCCTGCCTGAGATGCTGGACTTCCAGAGGGTTTTCCTGCAGACCCTAGAGGACAGGACAACTTCCTCACCAGACTACCATGCGCTAGACTGTCCAGAGAAACTCAAGGTGAAAATTGATGCTGGAAGTCTGATGCACAAAAGTCTGGAATATAAGTATTTTGTTAGCATTTTTATGGGCCATTTCAAATTATGGGTAAGGGTCGAGTTAAACCAGTGTTGTTAACGTTAACTGAAAGCATCTCGCTAACTGAAAAGAAACAATTGGCCTTTTTCATGGATGGTTTTTCACTACCTCTTTGAAAACTGCTAAAGTTTACAGCAGATGTTTACAGTCTTGTGGACTGACATTCTATCGCTCCACACTATAAAACTTGTAAGAAAAAAAGATGACGAAGAAAATCTCAATGAAGATGTTTATTCAGCATAGCAGTCTCAAAATACATGGCAAAACCTTGGGTTCACCAGAGTCAGAATGAACCCTGAACATTCCTAAACTCAACCCTTTATACTGTTTTTGATGTTGCCTTTAGATGTTAATGAAGGGCCTACTCACACTATGCCATTCGTACCATGCCCAGGCCCGTTTCCCGGATCGTTTAAGAAGTGTGAGTGCGCTGAATAGGGCTCAAGCACAATTCACTTGGCTGGCCCTGGCCCGATTGGAAGAGGTGTGCCTGAGCGCGGATCACTTGGGCTTTGGCGCGGTACGCTTGTGTGTGAGTGCAAAACGCGTCAAAGCCCGAAACTGAAAGCGATACGTGACTTTTAAGGGACTGTTTCATATGGATTTATGAATCATTCTTACTGTTCAGTGATCGCAAACTGCCGTAGCTTATTAAAGACGCAAACTCCTCACTGCACGACAGCTGCGCACCTTCAGCAGATCTCCTCATTCCTGCAGCACGAGAGCTTTATGATTGTTTATGAGCGCCAAAAGTGGCGGATCTGTCCGGTGAAATATCTGACTGCATGTCGCCGCATCCCTAAGGACTGTTTGGCGAAATATTTGACTGCATGTCACTGCATAACAAACGACTGAAACGATATAACTAGAGAAATCTCCACTGCTACTGGGTGAGAGCGTATGACAAGCCGTTTTAGCATTTAAACCTTGTTCTGACTATCCATAAATATATTTAGAGATATCTCTAATTATATTTTGACTAGTCATAATTATAATTCGACTTGTCAGATTGGAGATATCTGCAAATATATTATGACTGACTAGTCATATTCCTCCATTGACTTCCATTGAAAATTATTTGCAGATATCTCTAAATGAGTTTTGACTAGTCACAATTGTAATTAGAGATATCTCCAAATGAATTTTGACTTGTCAAAAATCCAATTCAAGATATCTATATAAGTGTAATTCGACTATTAGTAAATTAATTAGAGATATCTTCAAATATCTTTGTAAATATCTCTAAATATGACGAACTAAAGATATCTCCAAATGTATTATGACTAGTAAAAACTCAGTTAGAGATATCTCTAATTACAATTGTTACTAGTCAAAATTCATTTAGAGATATCTCTAATTACAATTGTTACCATGTGGTCGAGATGTAGTCACCTCAAACACTGCAGAGACAAGACCCAGTTGACTTCTCTTTTCTTTCATAAGTCAGCCCTTTTGGGAAATGAGCATCAATTCAGCATTTAGAGTGGAAGTTGGGTGGAGGCAGACTCATTTCGTACAAACTTAATAAAGAATATAAGTTTTTCCACAAAAATGACATTTTTAATTGTAAAGGTGGGAGACGATCCATACGTTAGCATGGTTTAGGAAAGGCTATTTACATTTGTGCCAGATGTACCTTTATCATAGTGTAGGCTCTAAGTTTTAAACCATTAAGAGATAGAAGAGTGTTAACGTATATAATAATAAATGTTTAAACATGTATAATATGTAAATGTATAGTAAATGTGCAATGTAATAAGCATTTGATAAAAGGCTACCTGGACATTTACTATTTCTGTACGTACATAGATGAATATCTTAAGGAAGGGCTATGGGCTTCATTTGCTGTAAATGTTGGCACAGTTTTCAAAGAGGTAGTGAAAACTAGTGTGTCTGAGTCCATTGTTCCAGCCAGAAGTATCGATACGCAACTATCGCTCTAGCAGATGTGCGTTAGACCGTCCGTGAAAAGGCCTTTTAGAAATAAATTAAACAAACAAAACTTGTTTTTAATTGACTTAAATTTCAGCTATTAATAAAATAAAGGATTTTTTAATATTGACCCTTTATTAGACAAAGAACCATATACAATACCTTCATTGATTATGATTACTATATTTGTAATAAGTTTCAAAAACAGTAACACTTCAGGGTTTTTCCAATGACTGTCCTATAAATTAGGGTTAAAACCCTCTGGAATATTTACATATTAAAACAAAGCTCATTATAAAACTGAAAACAATTCTAAAACTATAGAAATAACAGTAAAACAAGTCAAATATTAATGTTTAGATGCGTTTTTGAGTCTTAATTCAATCTAAACATTATGCATAATTAATAACAACACTAATAATAAATAAAATAATAACCCTAAATCTAACCCACATTTTAACCCCAACCATATAGTAAGTACTTGTAATTCATTAACATTACTCAGTAGTTAAATGAATAGTTACACTGTAACCTTAAAATAAAGTGTAAATGGATATATTAAAGGATTGTTTACTTGGATATGAACACATGCTGTTAATTGACCCATACTCAGAAAATAATGTATTTTTAGTTGCTGAAATTGATCAATTCAAGATCTTTCTGCATTTTGAGAGTAAATAACATAACAGGCCAAACAAATTCCTACCTGTGACTCCAAAGTGCACGCTCAGTCTGGAATCTGCAGCCTGTATGAACTAATTAAGGTCTATTTTATTTTACAGTCTTTAATGGTGTCAATATTAGTTTAACTACTTAGCATTATGAACTAATTACTTTCTGTATAAACAGAATATGAGGTTAGTTGCATGTAATTATGCAAATGTAATAGTAATTTCCTAGTAGTAAGTACATGGAACATGTGTAACGACACCTTAAAATGAAATGTTAGAAAAAATTGTAGAACAGCATCAGGGGTTTGTCTATGACAGGTAATCGGAGACAAATACGATAAATGATAATAAATAATCAACAATGTATTTTAAAATTATTATTATTTTTTAGTTTACTTTTTTTTTAAGCTATAGCCATTGACATCCATAGTAGAAACAAACATAAAATACTTTGGAATTAAATGGCTGTTGCTAAAAAAAAGTAAACAACATTAGTTTTCTTGTTGGATAAACGATCCCTTAAAAAAGTTAGATGTTGAACATTAATACGTTCAAAGATAGTCAAAAAATACTATGGAAATTAATGGCAGATTTTTCCAACATTTCTTATAATATTCTATTTTGTGTTTAACAGAAGAAAGACATAAAAAAAAGATTAGAACCATTTAAGTTTGAGTAAATTGTGAGGGATTTTTCATTTGGGGTGATCTCTTTAATACATCATGTTTGGAGATAAAATATAGTCAGGGTAGGCCACAATGTAAATAATAAAAATTTCGTTATAAAGTTTATTATAAAACTGAAAACAATTATAAAACTATATAAATAACAGTAAAACAAGTCAAATATTAACATTTACAGTGGTTTAGATGCGTTTTTGAGACCTAATTCGATCTAAACTTGATAGATGATGTGTTTTGCATACTCATCTTTCAATCTCTCTTCCAGAAACTTCTCTTCTCCTTGGGCGGATCCTTCTTATACTATGCAGATCACTTCAAACTTTACAGCGGCTTCTGCGCCAATCACATTAAGGTGCAGAAAGTTCTGGAAAGAGGTAAAACATGAGCCTCAACTGACATGTGTATCATGATATATTATCAACTGACATCTCAAGAATAAATGTGATGTACATGGTTTATTTCATTCTCTCATTGCAGCTAAAACAGACCGTGCATTCAAGGAGTTCCTGGAAGCGAGGAATCCCACAAAACAGCACTCGTCCACGCTGGAGTCGTACCTCATTAAACCTGTGCAGAGAGTCCTGAAGTATCCACTGCTGCTGAGGGAACTGGTGTCTCTCACTGACCCAGAGAGCGACCAGCACAACCACCTCACAGGTGACCCAAATTTCACATCCTTATACTACGTTTTAAAAGTATGTAGTTTTGGCTGTGTAACAGAAGAGTTTGCAAACCTACCCAGTCAGTAAAGGACAACAGACACACACACACACCCGTCATCATTTATGCAGTTTGGAAAAAAAAAATAATGGAAGTTTTAGTCTGCTTGTGGTATCAAATACCTTTAAAACAACCCTCTCCTATCAGTCCTTAGTTCATACTCTCATTCAGTACAGGGCTGGAAATTGCGATCATTTTATGTGCCCGAATTTTGTCTATGCGAGCTCAAAATATATTCGGGAGCATTTGTGCAAGTGCATAAAATTGTTGTGTGCGACCAGTTTTTACAGCAAAATGTTCACCACATGCGCGGATTCGGGAGGCATTCACGCAGAATGCATCTCTGCACTTTAAAACGCAGCGCTCAGGAATGGTTTAAAACAGTTGTCATGTCAACTTGGTGCTGCAGTAAACAAAGCCAAGTCTGTAATGCTTGCCCCGCCTTTACGCTCTTCTTATTGGCCCATCACCTCTCTAGCACTGAACGCGAATGGATTGGTTAATATCAGCTGTCAATCACTCAGTCAATGCCTTCTGGCTTGGGATGACAGGGAGAGCTGCTACCGCGAAAAATGGTAAAGCGCTAAAGATGAGAATGACGATAACACTGACAGATTTTGTTTTAGAAACCATGGCATCTTAAGTTACAAATAATGACATCTTACTAGTGATCATGTGCTGAATGTTAATCCACCATCTACACTTTTTCGAAGAGTGGATAAAAGACTTCCGTTGGCTTCAAGTCCGCTATGAAAAGTCTGTAGGATGGAATTTTCGAGCACGCAAGGTTCTGTTTAATCCTTCATTTAATCGCCAGATGCTGTCCGCCGTGCAAGAAGTGGCAGCTATATGTAAAACTTAACATCACGTACACCATCGCAAACGAGCTTACACTGAGTAAACTAATATCGCTACTCATAAAAAGAACGCTAATGCTATTAACATGATGTATGCATATAATAAGGCGCAGTGTATGTCAAAAACATCAATGCAATATCAGACAGCACCCGTGAGCACAGCACAGTTATATTGTTAACAGATTCATTCATGTCAAGCAGTGCGTGCAGGGCCAATAAGCGGTCCGTGTATGCTTTGGTCACTTGGTTCTGTTATAAAAATGTATTTTCTTGTGATAACGGGATTTCGTTGATATATTTTCCTCACACTTGCATATATATTTTTTGCTTGTTAGTTTAATTACTGTTGATTTCAAATGCAATAAATATGTTTGTATAGAACTTGTAGTAACGGTGCTTATAATTAGTGGGTGCGACTAAATTTTTAAAGTTAGGAGCACCGGTGATACCTAGCAAAAAGGTTAATTTCGAGCCCTGCAGTAGCTCAGAGTTTGTCCAGTCAGAGTTTATAGCAAAATATTTAGCGCGCATTTGCATGTCCGTCATGGCATAATTCATTAAAACAGAAGTAAAAACTATTTTCCATTCATATATTTCATCATTGAGGGTTACAAAAAAATATTGGGTTCATCTTATTCTCATGAACTCAATCTCCTATCTCGTCTTGTCTAGTGGAGTAAGCGTCTCATCACACCCCTATTAAGTATTGAGAAATGGCATTAACTTTCTATTTTTATGAACTTCACGTCTGGTACAGAAGCATTAAAGGCGATGGAGAAAGTGGCCAGTCACATCAACGAGATGCAGAAGATCTACGAGGACTACGGCACAGTGTTTGACCAGCTCGTGGCAGAGCAGAGCGGCCCGGAGAAGGAGGTGCGCACAATTCCACAATTACTTAAATGGTGTTTTCTGCTCTTATAATCTTGAATATTAAGCCAGTGTGTTGTGCGTCTCAGGTCACGGAGATCTCCATGAGTGAGTTCATCATTCACAGCACAGCGCTCTGGCAAAACCCCCTGCCCTCTTTGGGCCGCATGAGGAAAGACCCTGAACTCACTCTTTTCCGTAAGTCAGATCAGATTGAATAAGCTTATATACACGCATATTTTACTGTACAATGTGTGCGGTATCTAAGTCAGTGCTCTTATTCCTCCAGTCTTCAAGAAAGCGCTCATTTTGGTGTATCGGGAAAGCAAGCTAAAGAAAAGAATGGTGAGTTCTGGAATGAAGATATGGTGTATTTTTAGCTCAGTTTATTGAGTGTTCGTTTTGATTTAGTTCATTATTTAATGTGTAAATAATAGAGGTGTAACGAATCGCAGTTCGGAACACACATGGCCCATGGATTAATACATGTTTTTTTACTGGTAAATTAATCCTACATTTGTAACGATCGCATAGAGATCGCCTCTCGCGTCATTTAAATCACATGTATGATAGCATTTAGGCTTTCCTGTAAAATATAATGATGACAGAGGAAGTTGTGGTAGGTTATTTAGGATGTGAAGGGTTTTTTACGTTATTAAAGGTGTTTTCTGTCACGACTTGTTCAGCCTGCATTAATGCATTCATTGAAAGATCGGGATCTCAACACCCACGCAACAAATTATAAATGATGGTGATTTGCACGTTTATTGATCCTTCCAATTGCTGTATTCAAATCTGTTTAAAAAAAAACGCAAAAATCAGGAAAGAGATTTAGTTTTTAGTATTTTGAGTTGATTATGTAGTTACAAACAGTCAAATAACACGGAAGTACTGGGATAACAGGTTATAATTTAGATAAAACCACTGATGTTGTTTACTCAAATGAAACTTGTAGGCAGCAGTTATATCGTTTAACCAAAGGGTGGCGACAACCAGCCATCAAAAATAAGCCACTGAATAGGTCTTTAAAAATGACACATCTAGCAATAAAACATGAAGTTTTATGAGTGAATAACTGGATTTTATTGAAAATGGGACTATAATTTGTACAGCCCATATTGATTTTTAATGTTAGATTTCTACATTTAGTGTATCAGCAACAATAGTAGTAACAATTCTGAATAACCCACAATTTATTTTTATTCAGCTGATTATTTCTTCATTTTATTTTAAATAAAATTACAGCTTCTAAGTTCTGTTTGTTAAAAGTTTCTCGCAGTACTGATCTGTAAATCTATAATGTGATCTGAACCGTGAAATTTGTGATCCGTTACACCACTAGAAAATAGCAATTCACGTGTATAAATAGCTTCCATCACCCTTTTAAAATATCTCACGAGAAACGAGTGATCGAAATGCCAAATATTCAAATTAGCATCTCTTAATTCACAAAAAAAGTTTTAAATGCTCACTTGAGGTGGTTTTGAACTGTGAAAAAAAGTTAATGTCAAAAAAAGGGTGACAGAAACACATTTGCTGAATAAACGTGCATTGAAGTAGCGAACACTACACTCACATGATTCCATTATGCTTGCTTACTGCTGGTTGCTAGGTTACCAATACTACAGTAAGCCACTCTAACAAGTTGATAAATGCACCTAATTCACCTTTGGGATTTTGTCTTTTCAAATATGTTTCATGTCGGGATAAAAACCTGGCTAATATTTAGAGAAGGAAATCCTCGTTTATAAGCATTTCATGAAAAGATATTACATTGCTGACGATATGTGCAGCACTAAATATACAAAAAAAATGCTTGTGAAATATACATTAGTAGGTGATGTTTTTGAGGTATTTATGCTCACCAACACTCAATGTGTTATAAATATTTATATAAAAGCAATTAAAATTGTGAAGTAATTTCCTTAGTTCCTTTAGTTCTGGTCACTATATATGGTAACACTTTTCTTGAAGGGGTGTTCTTAAGACTGTCATGAAACCTTTATGATGACACGATGAGATTTTAGGCAATATTGACAACAGTTATTAAGTGTGATTTGCTCAGTTACGCTATTTTTAATGCAAAGATGACATTGATTGTTATGCCAACTTGGCATAAAATGATTATAAAGGTTTTAACACCCTTTCAAGTAAAGTGTTATGCTGTGTTCCCACCAGATGCGTCATTTGCGAATAAATCATGATATTCGCGCATAAATAGATGCTTGATCATCTTGAGTTTACTCACGTCATTCGTGCGCCAAATTCACTTCACAATAGATTCAGATTTACATCATGGGCAGGGCTTCTGTCTGCCCAATGACTCTAGCTTTGTTGCTAAATGGCTAACATGGGTTTTATCGAGAGATTAGCTGTGCTTTATGTGCTTTAGGAAGGCTGAAAACCAGCGTAGATTCGTTCGGCGCAGTGTCTGAGTCCACTAAATCCTTTCAAAGGTACACTAAAAGTTTCCAGAAATTATACCGTCATAATCAATTCAATTCAATTCAATTCAGCTTTATTTGTATAGCGCTTTTACAATGTAGATTGTGTCAAAGCAGCTTCACATAAATGGTCATAGTAACTGGAACAGTGTGGTCAGGTTTTAGTGTTTAAGTTCAGTTCAGTTCAGTTTAGCTCAGTTCAGTGTGATTTAATCATTACTGAGAGTTCAAACACTGAAGAGCAAATTCATCGATGCGTAGCTCTACCAATCCTGAACCATGCGAGGCAGTGGCGACAGCAGAGAGGGAAAAAAAACTTCACCTGATGGGAGTGAAGAAAAAAAACCTTGAGAGAACCAGACTCAGTTGGGCACGACCATTTTAATTTCTCCGCTGGCCAATCACGCCCCGACAAGGGCGTGATTGGCCCCGACAAGAGCAATCACGCCCCGACAAGAGCAAGCTCCTGATTGGTTAACATGGCGCGAATATCCACTAAAGTTCAGACTTTCAATTTGAGCAATTCACACGTCAAACTTGCAAAATGTTCAATTTACACTACTACATTTGCGCGAGTAGCACTGCAAGATATCTATTCGCATCTTTGCAATGACTTAACGTAAATCAGTCATGCTTTATCCGTACCATTACCCAATATATTTAAAGTCCAATTTATCTGTACTTGTCACTTTATTTTAGTCACATGATCTTTTAATTCATGCTTGGCCATAAAAAATGTTTTATATTCATTTGTTTTTTAAAGGAAAAAATAAGTTTGAACGTGACTGCTAATATTGTCATTTGTATGTTTTTTTTTATAATAGACTTCTCGACTCGGGGATCTGGATCCTTTTAAATTCCGCTGGCTCATTCCTGTATCATCCCTTCAGGTCCGACCTGGAACTTCAGCAGGTGTGTTTATCTGAGAGATATCTCTACCAAACATGAGTTTGACATGCATTAAACACAGGCTTTCTGTGCACTGTAGCTTCGAGAAAAATATGGAGTTTAAGTGAAGAATTTCAAGGACCACTCGATCGCATCATTCAGCGCTCATAATTTAAAATCCGCCCATCATAAAAGCTTCAAGCACATTTGAAAATATTTTGTATGTTGACAAAATGTAAAACCCAGATCATATTTTGCTTAAACTCCTTGTTCTTAAATTCTTTAGGGTCAGAAAACCCCTGTGTCTGGGAGGTTGTTCACACCAAGTCTGAAGTAGAGGGACGACCGGAGATGTTCTTTCAACTCTGCAGCAGGTAAACTGGCAAAACGTTTAATTGAAAATTAATAAATAAAAATAAAAACTTGTAAGCAAAATACACATGCTGCATTTTGACTGCTAAATACTTTGGTTGTTATAAATGTCACTCTTTTTTTGTCTGTTATGGAGTCAAATTATGCAATTTTGTCTCGCTAACTATTATCAAACAAGAGGCTACCAGAGTGGCATGTTTAATATTAGCCTGTGATTGTGTTGTTGACCAATAGGAGCACAGATAGTTTTAGTTATTCATAATTCACTCCTACTAATTCACTCCTAACAATTCATATTATCATGAAGTCAACCTCATTATTTCCACATCTAAATTTTAAAGGGCAAGAAAGTGGAACCACTCGCGCTTTCCAAAGTTTTTTGATGCTCGCATAAACAACAATAGAGGACAGGTATGGAATGAAATCACTGTCAGAAACATTTTGTGCTTAAATAAAATTCATCAGTCATATACAAACAGACAAAGAAAATGTCATACATGTCCGTTCTAATCGCAGATTTTGGAATTGCACCCTTCTAAAGTTCCGAGTATTATTACAGATGCGTGAATTTTATTTACGCATGAAATATTTATGACAGCGATTTTATTCCATAGCATGCAGCAAACTTTGTTTTTGCTTCTTGGTAATTGTATTATAACGTTGTTCTGTTTTGGTTGTGTTTATAAAAAAATTGGCACATCCTATGTCAACAATTGATCCTTGCAAGTAAAAAAAAAATATCGTGTTGGTAATCTTCAATCAAAATGGAACCATTCGCTTTCGCTCTGGAACGGCAGTCTATCTCTGATGATGTCAGTTTAACCATTTGGCTGAAGACTGCTTAGCCACGCCTCCTCCAATCGTTAGTTTGCAGCAAGTGAAAGATGGTCAATATTCAGTTTGCTCACTCAGATTTTAAACGTAATGTCGTCTTGTTTTTGTGCGCAGTAATCTGGAGAACAAGGCCAGTGCGGTGCGGGCCATCCGCAATCTGCTGAGAGAGAACGCCAAGAGAATCGCTCCAGTTGAACGGCGGTTGCGAGACTTCAACTCTAACTTCACCTTCCCCAGAAGAAGCCACCCAGGAGCACTCAGATCACACTCCTGGCAGAGGCCACCAGACAGCCCAAAACTCCCAGAGGGATACGCTCATTCTGAACCTCCCATCCCCAACCACTCGCTCAGGGCTTCCAGAGAGCAGTCCCACAACGCGAGCAAGAGATCCACACTGTGCTCTCTGACCAGCGCACTGGAAGCTCAACTCCAGAGATTGAACTTTGTAGATGAAGCTCAGGGAATGAGCAAGAGCAGTCAGCAGCTGGATGACTCTTCAGGCCTGCACCTCAACTCTCTGCTGGTCAGGGACTATAGTGTGCAGAGCCTGGGTTCAGTGGTCGGCGAGGACTGCTTTTACGATACGCTCATGGGCATCCAAAAAGCTGCCATCCCCACTTTGTAGAGGAAGCTACTGCTTTAAACATTTAAATGCACTAAAATACGATTACTGTGCCTTATGCAGAACGTTTTTATCAGTTGCAAAATCAAGTGAGCTGCCTACCTAGATGCCATTTTAAAGCACACTTTACTGCCTCTTTGGGTTATACTTTGCTTCGGTTGAATTCTAAGAACCATGATTTCTTAATAATAATTAGCCAAGATGGTAAAATTGGAGAAACAAATGACTAAATATTGTACTTGTATATAAATATATACTTTATATATATTATATAAGTTATATTATATAAGTAACTTATATAATATATATATATATATAAAAGTATATATTTATATATAAAGTTCACTATTAAAATGTTTTGAATAATTAGTAATACATTTTTTAACTTTTTTTTTTTTTAAGACATTAAGGCTGCATATGTTTGATAAAAAAAAAAAATGGTATGACACACACTGTTGTTACAGACTTACTTTTTAAATGGTTAAATACAACCAATACCCCATTATGACAAATGTGATGCTCAATCGGGTTGAGCTCTGGGCTCTGGCTGGGACATTTTGTTTTATTTCTATAATGGCAACGCTGAATTTTTTCCGGTCTTCACATGATCCTTCAAATATCATTGTAATATTCTGATAATGGATAAATAAAAATATATATTTAAATATATTTAAAGTGAAAAACATAAAAATATATTTATTGATATCCACATTTACTTTAGGTTTAAGAATTTTTACCGTTGATTTATTGTTTTACTATATATTTTTGATCATCAGGCTTGGTGATCAAACACTAAAATTGGCGAAGACTGTTATTTCGATTACTTTTACCTTGTAATTATAAAAGTGGGTTTTAGATAAGAAATCATGTAATTTAAAAATATTTATATATAGATTCTACTTTAGAATACTTTAGAATACCACACTCTTCAATTTTACCATGCAGAAATGGAGTAAACTACATTATTACAACATAATAATGAGAATATTAATAATATTGAATCAATGCTAATGGTAATATTTATGGCAAAGTCATTCATAAATTTTCCCTTTAACTTATCCAGCATATGTTTTACACAGTGGATACATTTCCAGCTGCAACCCAGTACTGGGAAACAGCCATTCACACACACACTCATACACTAAGGCCAAATTTGTTTACCCAATTCCCCTATAGCGCATGTCTTTGGACTGTGAGGAAAAACGGAGCAACATGCAAACTCCACACAGAAATGCCAACTGACTCAGCCGGGACTTGAAACTGCGACCTTCTTACTTTGAGGCGACAGTGCTAACCACTGAGCCACCATGTCGCCAATCATTCATTTATTCATTTTCTTGTCGGCTTAGTCCCTTTATTAATCCGGGGTCGCCACAGCGGAATGAACTGCCAACTGATCCAGCACGTTTTTACGCAGTGGATGCCCTTCCAGCCGCAACCCAACATCCACTAAATTCACCTGTACTGCATGTCTTTGGACTTGTGGGGGAAACCGGAGCACTCGGAGGAAACCCACGCGAACGCAGGGAGAACATGCCAACTCCACACAGAAACGCGAACTGACCCAGCTGAGGCTCGAACCAGCGACCTTTTTGCTGCGAGGCGACAGCACTATGGCAAATTCATTGAATAAAAATTCTACACTTTTATTGGGTAAACCGAGAATGATCCCTAAAAGAATTTGACTCGTTAAATCATTTGACTGATATTCAATACTTTTTAAAACCATAATTAATCTCCGGTCAGTAGTTAGTGTTAAATGTATTACAGTGTTCATCTGGGTAGTCACATCACTAGAGTTTGGAGCAGAGCCTCTGTATAGTTTGATGATCCTGCCTTCAAATCCGAGCGTATCCAGATCATTGCTTATAAGAGCGGACACGTGTGTTATTAATACACCAGCGAAGACTGTTTTACTGTATGTGAATACTGTCGCTTTACATTTGTACTGCTTGTTTGACAAAGACTTTTCTCAGAGCTGATTTCACAAGTCTGAATACAAATTATTTTGTCTAAATTATGCCTGTATATGTTTCTTACTGATGTTTAATGTATTCAATAGGCATGTCTTACATCCTGAAGTTTAAAGCTTAAGGAAATTTGTGGTCGAGATATTAATGTCGATATGCCCTGTTGTCAATTTTAAATATTGTAATTTATTTGTAAAAATACGACTTAACTAAAAAAAGTTGTTGGAAATGTTTTTGTTTGAATATTTAATAAATATTGCACATAAACGTTTCAGCTTTTGGTCTCCTATACATAAAATGTCATTCAGTAACCGCAAACTTCAACCGTTTAAATTTATTCAGTAACCAAAAATCTTGTTGGGTGTATTTAGAAAGAGAATGACACATTAAAAGACTCGCATACTAAGTAACCTTTTAAATTTGTACATTTTTATAAATATCTCTTTTATTAATATGTGGAAAAAGAGAAGCGTTTACTGTGCAACACATGTACAGCCATTAAGACCTTTTAGTGTGCTTTCACACCTGTGAATCGATTCAGTTGTTCCGAAACAGAGATTACAATTGTTACATTGTTGCTCTTTGCTCTTGGAGCGGTTCGCTTTCACACTGCAAAGTTTCTAAATGGACCAAAAGAGCTAAAACAAGTCACGTGCGAGTTAACTCTCCTCACATTGGTCAGAGTGTCAGGGTTTATTTTGCAGCGTCCCACTAAGCTGTCAGGAAAGGTGGTGGTTTGGTGGTGATTGACAGGGTGCGCGCGCGACGTGTCTGAGGAGAGATGCGGTAGGGAGGGGTGAGAAGGGTGCGCGACGATGCCTATTTGAGGACCGGGAGGGAGATGCGAGATTACCGGGAGATCATCACTCATTTGCGGGCATCCGGAGACTCGCGAAACTTCCCGCCATACTCATAATTCTCTCTTCATATAGCCGTAAGTCTATTACATATCCATAAAACACTGATATAACCGCGCTCGGATCAGATCGCTTTCTCACTGTAATCGAACCGCTCCAGGTTTTGTTTCAATCGAGCCGAGACCACCTCACTCAGGCGGTCTCGGAGTGATTACTTTGGCGCGGAACAGAGCGCGATTGCCCTGTTCACATATGCCAAACGAACCGCGCTAACTGGGAAAACGAGACACGTTCCGAAACAAAAGTGTAAGTGTGAAAGCACCCTTAGTTTAGTATGCAAATATATTGAGCTTTAAAAAAATGATAGCAATATTCTGGATAAACAACCATCAGCAGATAAGAGGAGTGCAGCTCTGTCGATTCATTCTTTCTATCTGAATGGCTCCCAACCTTGTCTTTAAAAATTTCTAAGAAAAAAAAAAAAAAAAACTGAGTCATAATTACAGGCAATTTTCTCTAGTGCTCTTTGTTCGGGAGTTTTAGGGTTCGTGTTAATTGTGTACGTGGGCTTTGATGACATGTTTCTTTGTCTTTTGGATTGAAAGGAGCGGTGGGGGTGTTACGTACCACATAATCCAACTTGATTTGCATTTTCAGAAGCCGTGCCGGAGCTTGGAAGGCAGCAAAGGAACACTGGTGAAGTTTTACACAAGCTTACATTGTAGTACTTTGGGTTTGTGTACATGAAACGCAGAAGCTGTGATGCAGAACGGTTATTCCTGTCAGTAGAGCATGTTTATGGCGATTGACGGAAACAAAGTGGCTGAAAGTCATTTAAAATTGCCAATTTGCAGTGCAACGAGTGAGTTAATTTTAACTTTATACTCATTAGCAGTGGTTAAAAGCTTAATTCTTCAACATAGTGATAGTTAGAAAGCAACCTTTCAATGCTTAAGCAAACTCTAGCTATAACTATACTTTCTGTAAAGGCAAAATGTTGGCTATCGACTGTTCATCACCTACAGGAAAGAAAAGTCCAATCATGAGACAAAGAAATGCAAAAAAGCCAGCGGCATATCAGTGTGCAAACAGAGAAGTTTGACCACTTTATTTAAGTTAGTGGATGGGACGGTTTTAAACTTCCAGAAAAGTTATTCATTAAATGACGTCTACATTAAAGCTTGAAATGTTCATGTAAAGGCAGAAGACATTTATGGATTTGATCCTGAATGGAGAACATTTAAGTAGTGTAATTTTGGGTTATTTTAGCATCTCCGAGTAACTATTTTTATGCGCATTTTGGATATGGGCATAAAAAAACTCTTGATGAGAATCAAAAAAAACATGTGCGGAGTAGGATAAACTTTTTATTCGTTAAGAAAAGATGCGCATAAACTGCGATGAAAGCACATTTACCCCACAAATTCCAGTATGCGCATTAAAAAGCCACGTGATTTTGTTATAAAAGATCATATGATGATAAAAATGTGTATGAATCCAGCAGGCTGAGCACATTATAAAACATCTGAAACTTTGTTTTGGTCATTCTAAAACGCCTGAACAGATTCAGTATTAACGTTATTATATTATTAATAACATATAATATAGCATCTGTGCTCCGTGTCTCACGCCTTTAAACGCCACCAAGCAGGGCCGGAGTGGGACTCCTTTCCAGCCCTGGAGTTTCAAGCTTCAGACCGGCCCACCTCAGTTCACGACTGACTATATTAAAATAAGGTCATTTCCAATTCAGTTTCTAATGACACTATCACGTCTTTTTCAAGAAAACAGCTGCTTTAGAACTTCAAATGTTCAACAACCCTAACAGTATTATATGTCTTAACAATAAAAAATAAATAAATAAATAAATACTCAGACGAGGATTAAACCCGGGTCGGCGGCGTCTTTAACTAATGTGCTAACCACTGGACCACAACAATTGTACATTGAATGTGTCTCATCATCAATTATATCATCATTAACCTGCAGGCAGCAGCATGCTCACGAGGTTACGAGAAAATAGATAAAAAGAGCTGAGCTGCGGTAAAATAATGAATAAGAAGACTGTGGTCGAGTAAATAAATTAATTAATTTAAAAAAGTGTGACTGCTGAGAGCTAGAGATTCTGGAGCTAGGGACACCGGCCCTCGCGGCCAAAAAAAACGGACCGGCCCACCGGGAATTCTCCCGGTCCTTCCGATTAGCCAATCCGGGCCTGCCACCAAGCGTTCACTGCATGTTAACACACTGTCTTCGAGGCGCAAGTCATTTATTAA